GAACAGTCCAAGGAGGTTACCACATGGACAGCCTTTTCTTTTATGTTTCAGCAACACTCTAGAGTTGCAATTCACAATGTTTTATTGATCTCTATGTTGACGTTTTGACTGTTCTGTTTGCGTGTTTGTTTGCTCGTTTGAGGGCAAATTTAGGAACTCTGCAAAACTACTAAAACTGAAAATGAGAACGATGAATATCTATCTTACAAGGGTAAAATTACTAAAGTAGAATCACTCTAAAAATATGATTCTCATCTGAGCTGTGCTTGATACATTGTCCTAATATTTTCTGTAAAATTTCTGCAAAATAAAGTAATTTTGGAGATCCAAAGTATTAGATTCCTTTGGCAGCTTTTTTGCTAATGCCAAAACACAAATCCATGTGAATTAGACTGTTAACTGGACATACCTATAGTCCTGATTTTAAAGAAATTCCTTCCAGTGTTTTGTCAGAAGGGACGTGAAAACTGTGAGTTGTTTTGCAAGTTGCCCACTCATTTGCCAGTGACAGCAGGAACAGACCCCTTCGTCTCCTGCCCCCTTACACAGCACAGGCAAAGGTCAGTGAAAATCAGAACTGCTGGGCAATAAACAATCACAAATGGAAGGGCCTCGTTTACTGGAGCTGTTACAGTTTGGGTGAATGACGTGGAAGTGCAGCCCAGGTCTGCTCTCCTCTGAACATCAGCACTTCTGCCTGAACAGTCACATCGGCATCACCACAGAGAAACATCACCTACACAGCCCCTCCAGAGCAAAGGTAGTGTCTTGTTACTGATTACTTTTGCTCAGCAGAGGCTCTCAGAAAGCCACGCTCATCACTAGCTTGTTTCTGAGCTTGGAACTGTAGCCCCTTCAGCTGGGCAGGGAATGAGATCAGATCCTGGGAGAAAGCACACCCACACTTTGTGCTGCAGGGATGTACTTTCCGTGCTAACTTTCCTTACACCATCACTGGTGAGGAACCCTTAGGTAGCTAAGGAGGCAGAACTTGTTGGGTATCAATCACTCTTTAAGTTTCCATCCATGGTTGTTGTTCCTTCAGTTTAAAGTTAGTGCAAATAAACTGTGCAGACAGCTTATTAAAATACCTCATAAGCCTAAAGAAACCATAATGCAGAAATGTATGAAAAATTAAGGGCCTATTTACAAGGAAAACAATGTTTCTGTGACTGATCTGAACAGCAAACGAAACATCTGGGGAGATCAGATCATGATTAGAAGACAGGACAAAGGACTGGACAGGACAAAGAAAGACTTGCAGAAACCCCAGAATTTGCCCTTGACAAAACCATCTAAATTTCCCAGGACAGGAAATTGCCCAGGCTGGAATGAAACTCATGGGTCAAAAGCAAATCGCACTGAGTGAGTCACTGAGGAAAATGGACAGCTAAATCTATCAGTAAGCTACTTTCCAGAAGGCAAATAGGATTGTTTGCACAGGATGGCCTGGCCAGTGTAGTCTCAGCCTTCAGCTTTTCATACTAAGAGGTGATCCTGAAGATGCTTCACTGAACTATTCCAAGGCCATGGGTACGTAAGCAATGCATTTCTGAAACATTATTTAAAATATGACTTTGATACTGTCACTAGTGCTTTCTAGAAAAATAGGACAGAGAATTTTGTCCCTCCAAAAGACAGGCACAACTTTCTGGGAACGAGTTTGGAGGCTCTTCTGGAGAGTGCTGAGCAGGTAGAGCTCTCACCCTTTCAAATTCCCTTGCCCTGAGTGACAGTGGCTTAATGAGCAACAGACGTGCTCGTGTATTTCATCCTGCTTCAAACAAAAACAAACTCTGATCCACCACTTATCAGAACAGGATTATGGCCCTTTTCCAGTCATCCTTGCTGATGCACTTACCAGGGAGCAGAAAAACAGGTTGTTGAAGGCCTTGTAAAAAGGTTCAGGTATAAGCCCTTTTTCCTATCACATGTAGAATGGAATAATCTAATAGATCATCATAAAATAAACATAATTTCCCACCATCTGGATTATGTTTGCCAGCCTAAGTCATCACGTCTGCTGCTTTACAGGTTGCTTGTGGTCATTTTGCAGCTTTTGTTATTCAAAGAGGGCTTCTCAGAAACAGAAGAGTCGGTGAGCAATTCAAAGGATTACAAAGAGAGACAGCTGACTTCAAGGATAAGAAAGCATGTTTCTTTCATCCTTGTATTTGTTAACTCATATCCCACTGCAAAAACCCTCTGGCACTCAAAACTCCTACCCCTTGAACACCCCACTGAGTGTCTGAGGAGGGTTTTAAATGCACATGCAGCATATGGTGAAATTATTACAGAGCACACAGAAGAGGTGCCTAGACATGTACCACAGAAAGTCAAATCATATTCTGCCCTTAATTGATTCCAACTAATCTTCCTAAAGAGAATCAAACAGCCTTGATGCAAAAAGGGTATGAACTTGCAAAGCAGGGATCTGTACATCACAGTTAAAGCATTATTCATAGCTTAGAAATTAAATATCTCTAAAAGTTCTGAAGCTTTCAGCCAGAAGAGGAGAAGATATCTAGGTCTTTTGTTATACCAACTTCAGGATTAAATAATCTCTTACTTGAAAAGCACCTCAGTTACTCCCTGCAAATATCCACTATGTTCATTAATTGGTAGATATAGAAATATCTATTATCATCAGAGTTAGTATCATTATTTGTGAATAAAGATACACAAAGTTTAAATAATTGATCTGAGTAAATTTCCTATATTTTACCATACAGTTTCACTGCTGCCTCAAGACTAATCTAAGAGGCAGTGGTTCATAGTTCTGACAACTGTAATAAGAAGCAATCAAAAAAAAAAAATACTTTGGTGTTTCCATGGTTTGAGGTGTCAGTATCTTCAAACACCATTTTAAAGTCAATGTTCTAGTTGCTTTCTTTATTAAAAGTGAATATACTGCTGTCAGCAGAATCACTTCTTTCCCTAATGAGATATATAATTTTATGTTCACAATTTTAGCTATGAACAAATTTTGGAAAAGGTGATATCTACTAGCCTGTTGAGAAGTAAGTGATCTATAAAACTGACTGTGCACTACTCTGTGGGATGCTTTTCTTCCTTCCACAGCAACCATCCCATTATTTCTGTTTTGTCATATTTTGTAGGGGTGGTGAGGGAGGGTGTAAGCTGCAAGGATTTTGCTTTTATAATGCGTGGTAAAACCAATCTGCTCTCTTTGCATGTTGCCTTCACATAAACTGCATTGTCTCGTGGTAATTATTGGTAACTTAACGCTCCATGGAAAGCAATGACATTGCGTTTGACAAGATGCAAAATGTTTCCTTTGGGCACGGGAGCCAACTTGTCAATGGAACATTTTTGCAACCATCATTGCTACAATCCACATGAATATGAACTTTGGCCAAATATAAATACAGAAATCATTTAGGTCATGTTTTCCAGGCCTGGTCTGTGCACCCCGTGTGTTGGACCAAAAGAGCCCACTCAATGTGTACCACAGTAAGTACTTCAAGCGTAAAGAGACTTTAGGTTCCATTAGACAAGAAGCACTAAACTTGAATTCTTTTGAGTAGGCTGTGTATTTCAGCGACGCCGCTGTCGGATTTATTCCCGCACACGAGCGGGGAGGAGCTTTCGGACTCGGGAGCTGTGTCGGACCCGGCTCGGCGCGGATCCCGCCCTGTCCCTGGTGCTGACGGGGGCAGCGCCCGGCGAGCAAACCCCGAGCCCGGCACAGCCGGCATTCCCGGCGGAGCCCAGCGCGGTGCCGCTGGCAGGGGAGCTTCCCAGCCCGGGGAATTTTCACTCCTGTGCAAATCCCAGGGGGGATCCAGTGGGGCACCGCCCGCGTTCCCAGCGCTTTGACGCTTGGGAACATCTTTCCTTTTCTCGCGTGGGAACAGTTTTTTCCTTTTTATATTGTTAACAAACTCATAAAGCGGCGGCTCCGTCACTGCACTGAGAAAACAGCTGGATTCCTCGAGAATATTTCGGGAAGCATAACTTTAAAAAAAAGAAACCCAAACCACCGCCTAGCGCTACTGAACAGAGGGATGTACGGAGCGGGATGCTTGGTCCTTGCCAGCACTCGGCAGCCATGTGAACGCACCGCAAGGCTCAGTATCTTAAATCATCCCAGTATCGGGATTCTGGTGGGCAGTTACGTTTTTCGTTTAGCTATTTTTTTTTCTTCCAAACCCTTTGTCTCCTCTCGGGACGCGGTTTTAACTTTTCCACTCAGTTAAAGCGACCCTTGTCTATCAACACCAGAGAATCAGCGGGGCTAAACAACCTCACTGCCACTTTTCTTACGAGGCAACGAGTGAAATCAGCGATTTCGCTCGGCGAAGGGGCTGAAGGCTGCGGGCTCCGAGCCCGCACAGCGCCAAAGCACACGCTGGAGAGCTTGTGCGGAGCTTGGGCAGGACAGCAGCCCCTCCTGCCTCACCGCGCCGCCCTCCCGAGCGCCCCGGGTCCCTCCCGCGGGCGCAGCCCCCCCGCTCCCGCCGCCATTTCATCCCTCGCATCCTTCCCTGAGGGCGCTCACGCGCGGACCGCCCGCCCCCGGGATACCTGCTGCCGCTCCCCACAGCTCTGGGTCACCTTCCCGCTCCGCCACCGCGGCCCCGCGGTGTTCCCGGCTCACCCGCGGGCATTTACACACCGCGGGCAGGCATTTACACACCGCGGGCAGCGCTTTCTCGCTCGCCGGGCCCCGCGCTGCAAATCCCCTCAGCGCGCCCCGCCCGCGCGGCGCCCCCGCGCGGCGGCCCCGGGGAGCGGCCCCTGCCCTCGGGCGGCCCCCGCGGCCCCGGCGCTGTGACAGCCCCAGCGGGGCGGCAGCGGCGCTGCCCTCGCCGCGGGGCCGGGCGGGCTCAGCGCTGCCCTGGCCTCCGCTCCCCTCGGCCCCGCTGCCCGGCCGATGTCCGTGGGTGCGGCAGCCGCGGCTCCTGCGGGGGCGGGCCCCGTGCCCGCCGGCCCACGCAGAGTGGCGGCGGCGGCGGCGCGGGCGGCGGTGGCGGAGGCGGAGGCGGAGGTGAGGGGGCGGCCCGGAGGGACCGCTTGGTTACTCGGGACACCGCAGGTGGGCAAGGTGGGTGCGCCGCGGCCACGGAGTTTCTGTAGTGGAAAGTGTTGGCCCGGAAAGCCTTCGCTGGGAAGGCAGAAGCGAGCGGGCGAGGCTGCCTTATCATCTGGTGCCTACGGGCACAGCGCTACATCAGCGTGGTGTAGCGATCCCCTAAGGAATCTGCGATGGCCAAATGACGCCGATGGCACAGGATCCCTCTCCTAAGCCCTGCTGAGCGCCGTGCCCAACCTCGGCTGTCTGGACTCGAGCCAGCGCTGTCAGAGGTGCTGTGACCTCGATGGCAAAGCTCAGCCCCGGGCCTGTGCGGAGCTGACGGTGACCCGCACGCAGCTTCTGTACCTGGGGTTTGGTTGGACTTTTTTCATTCGCTGTTTTCCCCTTTCTAAGGGAAAACAGTAATTTAGGATTCCCTGCAACAAGGCACAAATTACAGTACTCACAGGCTTGCTGTAAACTTTCCTGGCTTCATCCCAGAGTTGGAAAAGCATGATGAAAACTGAATGGCAACGCATTTGACAGCCTTGTTTTTCTTCTTCAAATTCCTATATTGGAAGCTGAGATCTGCATTTTAATCCAGTTGCTGCTGTTGATACATTTTGTCATTTAGAACTGGTAACCTAAGCGCTGTGGTTACATATGTAAACAGGAGATGGTTAAAACAACAGGTGCTTAGGTGTTCTTTACCTTAAAAAAGAAACCTTATTATCTTGGGAAGGTAGGTGCCCTAGAAGCTTTAGGTGATGTAGTGACTGCCTTTAAAAACAAGAACTGAAAAACTGATAAAACGAGAACTTAGTAACATACACTTAAGTCCCTGCAAACAGTCTGAACTGGTATCCTTCTCTTCTCTTGGGACTCTGTCTTTCCACAGGTTTCCAGTTTAACATAGTTACCAAACATTTTTCAAATCTTTTGAAGATCAATTCTGACTACAATATGTTGTACACCAAATCTTTTGTGGTAGTGGACAGGCATGCAGGGGAAAAAGGCCATGTAGTAGGAGAATAAAGTGTGAAATACAATTTTTTTGTAAAGGTGCAAGTAGTCATGGTGAAGGATCTAGAGGGGAGGGTAAACAGCAAATTTGATCAACTGGTAAAGTGATAGCAGCAAACAGGCAAGCAGGAAACATTGGAGCTGCATTTCTGAACGCATTGTATTACAGGGAAGGGAGATAATATTCTGTCGTTATATTGCTCTAGCATATCTCGCCAGAAATACTGGCCTTTGTTAGCACCCACAAAGCACATTATTAGAAATGTATTGGCAAAGTAGAATGAGATGAAGCAAAGCGTGCTAGAAAATTCAGCTTCTTGAGAGAGATCAAAATGCAGGACTTAGGACAACTTGATAAAGGAACTAAAAGGAATTCAGAAATACTAAGTTCTGTGAGAATTGAAGGATTTTGATTCAATAGGTCAAACAAAGCTGTACATACAAGTAAAAGGAGGATTAGCTCAACTTAGAGCTCAGCAGTGAAGGAAAGGGGATTGCAATGAGCTCTTTTGCATTGTAGAATAGTCTTACTTTGGAAGCAATACTGAACTTGTGCTGAACTTGTGGGAAAAAAAATCTTTACTCTTGGTAATTACTTTTATATTCAGTTTGACATTGGCAAGGTGGGAATTCAGAGTTAAAAATGTGTTACATCTCTAAAGTGTCAGTTCCAAATTCTTTAGTACTGCTTGACCAATATATGGTAAATATGTGCTAGTTTGTACTGTGGATCACAATGAAGATTTCTCCCCAAATACAGCTGTTGATTCCACATGAAATGTAATTAACACTGGGTTAATTCAAAACTGTGGAAAACTCTAGGATTGCACGTATCAGTCAACCAGTTGAAAGGTTGGGTTTTCTTCATGCATCTGTGTAGTGAGTAGTTTCTTCAAGGCTCCATTCTCCTTGCTTTTCCACTGTTCTGAAAGACTGTAGATAATCACTGGAGACAGTGCAGGAATCCACGGGACAAAAAGGGCATGTTTGTCATAAAGCCAAATGCTGCCTCCTCATACTGCCACCCCTTCAGGTGAGGGAGACTGAAACAAAGGCAGACTATCTTTTTATCTTTTTTTTTTTTTTCCCCCCTAAAGGAATGTTGAATATGTTTTTATCAAATAGGAAATGATAGTTTATTCCTGTGGAGTGCAAGTCTTTCACTTGCCCAAAAGGAAAACATAAACCGTGACCTTGTACGCCTCTTTTTATGTGCCAGAGGTGCGTAGTATATTGCAGATCAGAAGTCAAACTCCAAGCAATCTGCTTCTGAAACCCTTAATGATACAAGTGATACAACCGTGTTGCTGCAGTAACAGTAGTTCAAGGCTCCTCTATGCACACATTTACCCCTGCAGCTAAAATATAACCCATGAGTAATGCAGCCAGCTCCGTGAAGTAGTAGCAGCTTTAACAACTGGAATTTCCATTACTGGTTTCCTCCCACCTTTATTTAGCATTGACACGGGTGGGTTTGGTTTCATTCACTCCACGGCTCTGCACTCCCAAGCATGCAGTCGTCGCTCTCCTAAAGCCGGCTCGCTGTGATGTGTACAGCAAGGTCTCCCAGCACATGGGGATTGTTTCCGCCGGTGTAACATCCCTGATGCAGCTGTGGAAGGACGGCGCTGCTCAGGCTCAGAGGCATTTGCTGGAGGTGGTGGCACTCTCCCCTGCCCTAGAGCCTGGTGCCCATCCAGCTCCCTCCCAGCTGTTCCCATCAGTCAGCTGGGAATAGCTCGGGACGGGGCGGGACCTGGGGAGCTCTGGACAATTCTCTGGTTTGATATGTGTGCAGAAAATGTCACCCTGCTCCTGGAATATGTTTTTTGTTTAAATGTCACTCCTTACATCAGTGACCTCATCTGACTCAGCACAGCTTCTCTCTGAAGGGAGGGAGCTATGAGCAAGTCATGGATTTTGACATGGCAGGAGAATGTAAGGAAAAAGGCACACCAAGAGAAACAAAATACTGTTATCTGAGCAAACAAAAATGAGTTTTGGAACAGTCCAACAGGCAGTTATGTAAAGCAACTAAAAGCTAATCTAAACATCACAAGCCTCTGAAAAACAAGGGGACTGTCTATTATGTACACACAGTTTATTGCAACCTCAGGTTTCCCAGAAGGTGTTGCTGAGGTTTGTGCTGATAGCTGTGATGACCCTGTACCTACTGCACTTTTGAAAACAGGGTGGGGTTGAACGAGCCATCTGGGTGGATCACCAGCTTATTTAGAGGCTCATTGTACTGAAAGTCTGTAGAAGGTGAGACCTATGCTAAATGTCCCTAACAAATGGAACTGTGACTACAGCAGGAGCTTCTGTAGCATTTTAAATTCATTATTAGGCACAGAGCTTTCTCCAGGCAGGCAGAGGGGATACAGACACAGGAGTGAAACGACTTATGGAGACCTGGAGAAAGAAAACTGGAATATTATTTTCTCCAAATTGCACCTGGTAGTGATAGAGCTGTGGTCCTGTGATGTTGAAGGGGAATGTTGGCCAGGACTCTGGCATATCCTCTCCACTTTCCTCTTAAAAGTGCCAAGCTATGCTGAACATTCATGCAGACACAGACAGAAACCAAAGGAGTAGGAACAAGTGACCTTAGTTTAACATTTCATTCAAATGACAGAGTCCCTAATGAGATTCCCACTCTAGTTTCTTAGCACACCACCCAGCCTGAAGGATCTCTCAGATCCTTTCAGGTGTCCTAAACTGAGAAGGGAATGGGATATTATAGATGTGAAAGTAGGACAGAAGCACATAGTGCTTGATTAAACAGCATCTCTGTTTGTTAATGCTTAGCTCTGTGCAGCCTGCTGTGCAGTTTTATTCTGTTCTGGGTTTTGTTCCCCCTCTCCCCTTTATTTAATCTTTTTTTTTCCATGAATGACTGAAGGTTTAGGTATCAGAAGGTAATATGCACAGAATTCACAGTCCATACAACTGTAACTTTTCTTCTAATACCTATGTAGCTGATACTGTCTTTACTAGTGAAGCCATGATTTGCTATGTTTGTGTTACTCCTGGTAAGGAGTTCTGTTCTCCTGAACCCTTGAAAGGGAGACAAGAAAGGACACTAAACCAGCAACCAATTCCTAGGAAAAGGAAAGGAATACTGCAATGATAATTTACCTTCAAATTTGGGTGTGCATGTGACTCTTAAAAAAAAAAAAAAAAATTCAGTACTAGGTAAACTGGCAGGCCAGGAAACTCTGCCATTTGAAGTCCAACAAGTCAGTTTTGTCTCTCCTCAAAGTCATCCTCCAAACATCACTGGTTCTGGACTCACAGAGGACAGGTTATAAATCCTCTTAATGTAAATGTACCTTAGAGGTATTTGTGAGACATCAAACCCCATTTTCTTCTCAAGCTGTGTCTGCTATTTGCCTTAGTTTTGGTTTGGGCCAGTTCTACTGGCTTGATGTAACTTCTATTTAAATCCATGTGAAATGCTGTGGTTTAAAGTGGACCTCTGGCTAAAAGATATGGTGATATGGTTATATGGTTCAGTCTATGCAGAGATTAATTATTCCCTTGTACAAATGGCTTTTCTGACACTGTGAATGCTACGCACTTTATTGCTTCATGATTTTGAAAAATTATTGACCATCTCCTCAGATAAAGACTGAGTTTCTGGTAGTGTTTGCTCTCTCTGCCCTTTCGCCACCAGCTATTTACCATGTTTTAAGGTGGGTGTACTGACAGAGTGACCTGCTATCAACATTCAAACTGAGCTGCCTCACTCTAGTGCACTTTGTGGGTTTGGCTGCCTTTTGGGTTTTCAGAGCAGAACCCATGCTTTCTTCCCCCCACCACCCCACCATAACACAATGGCAATTTTTTTCTAACCAGAGGATAAAGAAGGATATATATATGTATATAAAGAAGGATAACAAGGATAAATGTGGAGATACAGGAGAGGGCTCATGGAGTTCCTGTACATATTAATAACTTGAAAGGGGAGAGCAGAAATTTTTTGTTTATATCTGTAGATCTGCCAACAGCTTCTCCTCTTCCCTCATGTCCTCTGCATTTTAGCAATTTCCAATCTAAGGCAGAAATGCTATCCAGCGTTACTGAACAAGGGTTATAGTTTTATGGAAATGCCTAAGAACTGAAATATAAACTATGAAAAAATCAAGGAATAAATTAAGAAAGCAGTTGGCTAACTATTTGTATTCTTAGCCTTTCATTTAAGTGTCATGCCTTTAGAAGACTTGTATTGAAATGATGAGACAGGTATGTAGTGAAACTATGCTTTTGCCACAGAAATTAAATGCTGATTAGAAGTATCTCATGATACATCTTTCTGCATTCAGAGAGAATAAATTTTAATTTTCCCTTGAGAAAGCAAGGGCTGTGGAACCAAGAGCCAAACATAAAGTTGTGGGGCTTTTTTGTGACGCTAAAACTTTTGTCAGTTTAACAAACTATTGCAAAGGAAGGTAAACACTTTTTTGGTGCCTCTCCTGCTGCATATAGTAAAATCTATGGAAAAGAACTTGCTTGTAGTATATTATATGTCACAATGCAATAAACATGCTCTGAAGCAGAATTTAAAAATGGCTCTGTAGTTGTTAACAGGTTAGTGAAGAGATTTGGGTGTTTGGGATTTTAGCATTGGATTTTGTTTGCTTGTTTTATTAAAACGTGTGTTTTGTCCATAAAGTAACTGGGCAGGACGAGGGGCTTCAGGAGCCTAGAAAGATCTGTCCCCTTCCCTGAGGACTATATTAGACCTCTGAGTCATGAAGTCTTTGCATAGTAGGTGTCTGGTTACAAACCTTTTATGGGCCCTGCTCAGCTGGGATATCAGCATCTGCATTATAGCTCCCATCTATTCTTAGGTGGTATCAGAGCACGACTGAACAGGCAAGGCAGAAAGAGAACCGCTTTCGTTACGTAAAACTCTTCCCTCTTCTCATTCTGTTTTTTTCACACTTCTCTCTGTCCACCCCATCCTTGTGTTCTGCAGTGCCTTGTTGCTGTGTGGTGAAAGCAGCACACAATGGCTTACAGCGTGACTCTGAACGGACCTGGACCATGGGGCTTCCGACTGCAAGGGGGCAAGGACTTCAACATGCCCTTGACCATCTCCAGAGTAAGTGTGCAGAAACCCTTGTTGAAGCTTGTTTAGGCTGGAAAATAGCAGTCATATGCACACTCTGACTAGCAAAATAGAGGATCTTTGCACCTAGGTGTGAATAAAGAGAATGCAACATGGACTTTAAATATACCAGTTCAAAGTACAACCTGGCATGGATAATGCCTCAGGAAAACAGTTCTGGTTGGTATATTTTTATGAATGGCAATAGTGTCTCTCTTAAATGAGCTTCCAGTTCTATTTTGTACAGTGTTGTCTCTTTTTCTGCTGGTAGGGGCCTCAGTGATGCTGTCTATTTGAGGGGAAGGGAGTAGAAGAACTATGAATGAGAATATTGATTATATTTCTAGAAAATAAACATTTAACTGCTTGTAAACATGTGAAGTCAGGCGTTAAAACTGGACAAAGACAGGGGTATGTGTCCCCTCCTGTGAGGGGGTGCAATAATTGGATAAAAATTTGATAGGTCAAGCAGAAGACTACATAGTGCTTAAAATACAGTCTTAAATTATGCAGAAGCCTTCCATTTGCAGCCGACAAAAAGCATGTGATTTAATAATTAATTACCTGGTGCATCTGTCACAGATGAGTCCATTTATCTCCTACCTGCGTTTTTTTCTTCCTTCCCCTTAAAACATTATTTCAAGGTGTGGCACTTGAGTACCCTTATTATCTGAATTAGCTCAGTTTCTTAAAAGTTTTTAACATTGGATGGTTTTCAGGAAACTTGATTTTCCCATACCTACCCTTCTCTTATCAGATAATTCTGTGTAACTTCTGGTAGTTCCCTTGGGTTTTTGTTTGTTTGTTTGTTTGATTGGTTGGTTTTTATTTTTGTTTGTTTGTTTTCTTGTTTTGTTTTGTTTTGTTTTGTTTTCTTCTTTTTGACAGTCTCAAATATGCTCCAGAATGTTCAGATCTCTTTAGAGAAGTCTTGGTTCCTCCACAAATCACCTGCAGAAGGCTTATTTTGCAGTACAGTGACAAGAGAGGTTACTTACATAACAGTGTTTAAAAGTAATAGCAGAATGATTTAATCAGACAAACAAGTGGAATGCAAACAAAAGGTCTGCTTCACTGAAGGAAAAAAAAAAAAAAAAGAAAGAAAAAACCCCACCTACACTACTTTTAAAACTGTATTGAATTTTTTTCATATTGAAAAATACAGTCTGTTGTGGGTACAAAATTGGTATCTCTGCGACAATCATGATTCAGAGTCAATCAGTGAGCTTCTGAAATCTTAACTATGCTTTTTCATATTCATCCTGTGAAGTTTTGTATCATCTGATCTCCCTTTTTCTTCTGCACATTAGCCCTGTCTCGGAAGACAGAGCTGCATTTACCTTTAGTATTGAGGCCCACGAGGATGAGAGGAACTTTTCATAACTCCTTTTGCGGAAACAGTGCAGTAACTGCCAAGAAGGATGTTTGGTCAGTATTATTAAAAGCAAGCAAGTAAAAGACAACCTAAAATACCTCCTGCCCACAAAAATAAACTCACTTCATGACCTCAGTTTAATTTCATTCTTGTAAATAGTGTTGGTCTTTCTTTTCCTATCACACCCAAGGTAAGTACAGAGAGGTGCCAACATATTTCTGTAGGCATTTTCATGCCACTTTGCAGCTGACAGTCATACCTAGAGGCTGTCAGTGGAGGACCAGGGCTGTGGCAGTTGCACTGTGTATGACACAATCAGTAATGAAAAGCTGATTGTTTCCCAAACAACTCATTGTCTATATAGTAATTTATTAAAGTGTAAACTCTATGCCCAAAGGCTGCTGTGATTCTCATGGGGCTTTTGAGACCATATGAGGAGCAGGAGTGGAACTGCAATGGCTGAATTCCCAGAGGTGTGGAGGAATTACCTTTTCCCACAGCTGACTGCCTTTCCAGTGCCAGAAAGCACTGCTAAATGTTTTGAACTCTTTCCCAGTGAGACCCAGCTTTTAGCTGGGCCTAAGGATTTGGGATGGGACAGGACTTTGTATCCTACCTTACAAGGGGAAAAGCACACATGCAAGAATAAACACAGCCACTTTTAGGGCGAGCTGGGATAGTAATGCCTGCTGGTTGTGGTGGTTTTAATTGGAACACTGTGTAATACATGACTTTTGATGGTAATAGTGTATGTTTGCCTTTAGCATCTTTCACATAAATATATCTCCAAGCAGATCAGATATTCCCCTTAATCAGAAATTTGCAGTCATAAGGGAGTTAAGCTGTGAACTTAGCCATAACTGCAATCTTATCATGGGGGAAAAGGAAATCTGTACTTACATTCTCAAGATATTCTTGTGGGGCAATGAAGGGGAAGATAACCGGGAGGAAAATCCCTTTCTTGGAAGAGGCACACAGCTATTAATGTTGCTGGTGGGGGCTGTACACTTACCTATGGACTGGTTTTGGTCCATAGCTACACTGAGATGAGATATGACTTTCTATGTGCAAGATGAGTCCTAAACCCCAAACACTTCAACTAAAAAGGTCTTGTAATTGCTTTTACTACCAGATGTGCCACGGCCCTTTTGCCTGTGTAGGTGTAGGGTCCCTCTCTGTGTGCAGACAGGGTTTGCATGCAGACACCTCGTTACCCTCCATCTGTCCCCGAGCAATTAGCCTGGCTGTGGGTGGGCCACGGAAAACAAAAAGGTTCATCCTTTTTCATGAAGGCTCTGTGCTCTTCTGTCAGGCTGCAAGAGAATTGCTTCTGAGCTCCTGAGAAAGATGATGGCTACAGTAGAACATACTGGGATTGTTCATCCCATCTATAGTATTATGCCAACACGTTTCCAAGGACCTTCCCAAAGGAGGGTGCTAATATTATGCTATAATGAAGCTGGCCCATGCACAGACATAAAGTGGGCAGCCTGCACTTGGGAATTAGAGCTGTGGCTTAGCTGTCTGTTCACCTGCACTCTGTAAGCCAGCCCTATGCAATTCCCACCCATCTTGCACTTTACCTGAGGACCAGGAGAGAAATCCTGAAGGTCTTTGAAGCCTAATGACAAAAGCACAATACAAGATTGTGGCATTGCTAATGCTTCTGTTCAGGAAAAATGATCTTAAAACAGTGGACAAGGAAGGGAATTACTCAGAGCTGTTTGACACAACAGTTCACTTTAAAGACGAATCTTGAAAATGGTGTCTGAGATGCTGTATTTTCTTCCCTTCAGGTAGGTCCAGGGTATCAGCTCATTGCTGAATAGTCAACAGCATAAGACACAAGACTCACAGTCAGTCAGCTGGGTGACAGCTGAAGATGTGTTCCTCTGAAATGGATTGTTCTGCTTATCTGTTCTTTATCTAAAAATAAATGCCTGACTAACATAGTGGGTGGGGACAAGAAAAGGGGAGACAAAAACAAGAAGGGAAGAGTTAAAGTCCCTCTGAAGCTTTTACACTCCTTTAACAATGGCATTGGAAAATAATCTGTGAAGATTTTAAAACTATTATTTCAGTCCCCACCCTGCATACCATCCCACCCTACAGAAAAATCCTGTCATAAGACGTCAAATTCTGTCATGAGATGTCACGGGCAGGTAGCAGAGGTAGGAAAACAGTATTGACAGACTTTTAGTACAGCTGAGCATCTGTCAGCCCAGCTGAAATGAATGAGACTTGCAGGTTGTTGGCAAAGTTAAGAGCTGTCACCAGTGGCATGATCACACACATAAATCTGGTCTTTCCAAGTTGACGTGGGCAGCAAAGCCGTTTATTTTCTCCTGCTGCTTGCATGGACTGTCTGGAAGCAAGCAGAATTCATTAATTTTACAGACCTAATCCTCTGTAAGAAGGCTTTTGGACATAGTTAATTATCTAAGTGCTCTGTTGCCGTGTTACCTAAGATGGTACAATTGCACGTGGTTGGATGCAATAGCAGAACCTCTCCATGTGTTTCTGAATGTTTATTACTGTACAGTGAATTTTCTGGTGGGACAGACTGGCTTGCAGGGGGTGCAATGAACTGAAAGGTGTGCAGGAACTATCATCATCTGAGCTAGGGGAAATATTATCTAGAACACTGGGGTAACTTATGACTGGTATATTCTTTTTGTAATTATCCATAGTTTTGTATTTCCCAGTAGAGAGGTTTTTTAGTCACTTGGGTTCCAAATCAAAAGCCAGAGCCTGCCTGAAGCAGAGGGAGATAAGGTTTAAACAAAACAAAAGCGTTTAAGAACTATTTTTCTTTACTTGATTAAGTGAGGAAAAAGTTGAAATATGATGATGATGTAAGCACAGTGAGGGGACACAGCAAACACTATTATGAAAAAAATTAAAATAGCTGATCTGTATGCTTATTCTGATACAAACAGCCTGAAACTACTCTTTGAGGCTGGGAGAAACCCCTGGTCTAGCATTTTGCAGTCTGTCTCTGCAGGAGCAGGAAGGTTTTTCTCACAGTTGTTAGGCTCTTTCCTTTTATCAGCATCTCTTCCTGATTGTTTCCTGTCCCTCCTCCACTCCCTAGCATACATATGTCAGCCCCTGGCTGTGACTGCCTTTGCTTTAGAGGCTGTGTGAGAGTACTCATTTCCTGTAGGCTATTGCATATCAGTGCCTTACAACAGACCAGTGATGGGGGAAGCCAATCCCTCTTTTTTTTTTTTTTCCCCCATTCTTGAAAGCAGAGAAACCTCAAATGAGCTGGGTCAGGCTCTATGCATTCTACAGCTGTCATTTGAATGGCCGTGTAGTGCTGTACATAAATTATAATAAGAATGCAGTTTGCCTCTGTTGACTGAACTGAAGCAATTTAACAAGTTCACTTGAAATGTTGATCCCACATCACCCCTGGTGAATCGAACTACTGAGCAGTTGTCCTACAGCTGCAGCTGCAACTTTGCGAGGTGTTTTTTTCATCTCCAAACAGGAAGTCCTTCACAATACCAAAAGCCACAGATTATTGTTTATAATTGTTGATATTCTACTAAATTAACAGGTAAATCTCATGTCCTCTAACAGTCTTCCTCCTTAACTACTATGCAGTGGAGAT